TTCTTTGAAAAATAGGAGTATTTCATGATTCTTAGACTGAATTATTTCTTTTCACTTTGGGTTTCAATTGTTTCCTAATTTTTTCTGTATTTCTCTGGTCCTTGTAAAAAATTTCACATTTTTATGTTTCTTCCAGATCAAAGAGGCAGATTTACATTTTACGGTAGCAAGATCATTATGTGATGTAGCGTTAGGCTCGAAATCATCTGCTGGAAAAAATCACTGGAAAATGAAGAAAGACGATAATTCAGCCATGGATTCATCAGGTTGTGATAAAATAATTAAAGTTGAAAGTTTAAGAATTTTGAATCGAAGCAATTCGAATTAACAGCGATTTTTCATTTCTATTTACGTCCTGTGTGAGGTGCGTGGCATGGGATTTAAACCGGTGATGTAATCGCACAATCAAATCACTTTAAACACTATTTAAAAAAAGATACCTTAATTCCATCGATTAAAACCTCATCTCATAAACAGTGTTGTTTTTAAGCTAAACTTAGAAGTTGTTTTATGCTTTATATCTTATTCTTAGATACTAACGATGATAAAATACCATGGTTACTAAACAAGATATTGGAAGAATACGTTTGCCATCGTATACCTGCTGTCAGACAGGTGATTTTCAATTTTAGTTTTTGTCTTAGTTTTTGAGTTAGAGACAAATTTTTTATTTACTAGATGAGATTGATACTAGATTGAATAATTAGTTTTTAGTTTGTTCTAAAAAAAGTAATCAATAAAGTGGATTAATGAAATAGTGATATATAGCAAATGTTGCCTTGGCTCTCGCCATGGAAACGAGGGACAAAACAAATACTGAATGATTTATGTTGGACTGCCAAAGGTACCACTATAAATGTTTTGCGAAACACTAGGGTTTCACTGAACACAGTTTGTCAAGCACTAGTTAAAACTGACACTTTTTATTACTTTCTCAGGCTGCAAGTATATGGCTTTTAACTATGCTAAAGACAGATGAGATCACATCACATTCAGAAATTCAACAATTTTTGCCAAAATCACAGAATGCTTTTATGTCTCTACTTACCGAATCTGACGGTGGGTTGACATTTCTGTCATAAGCCTAAGATCGTTGTGTACAAAGTTTATTTGTGACTCCTTTCTGAGGACGGCAGGATGCAGAAAAGCAGGCGAAGCAGCGCTTGTTTTATTTGTCAAACTTACGACTAGTTTGAATACCAAATAATCTGGTAACAGCAGTAGCAATCAGAATCAAAAATTTATTTGAATGTGGAGTTTTTTTCTGAAACTATTTTTTTCTGAAACTGGATTCGAAGTCAAAAATTTTTGTGAACCTAAGAGTTGCTTTTAAATTCTCTCCGGCTTCGCAGACCTGGTTGAAAATATATTTCTCACTTATCCACTATAGAATGAAAAACCTTTATATATTGAATGATCCTATATATACTGACCTTTTAATAATCTGGTACATCCCAGTATACTCTGAGGTTCACACACTCTTAAAACCTTCTAGTACGCAATGGGGTGTATTATACACTTGATTGAAAAGTATTTCTTTATGTTGATGAGCACTTGAAAGAACATTTGGCGAATAACACTTGTAAAATGGAACCTTTATATTTTATTAATTCCGAGACTAATTTTTTAGATCTCATCCAAGACATCGCATCCAAGGGGTTAGGAGTTGTGTATGAGCTTGGTACAGAAGATCAGAAGAAACAATTGGTTGATGCATTGGTTGGTTCATTGATGGAGGGAAATGCGTCAAAAACTATCAAACCAAACCAGGATAATTTATTTCAAGGTGCCAAAGGAATTGGGAAAGCTCCGGACGGGTTAGTATGTTATATTCTTGTCTGCTCAATTTTTTTTTCATTGTGAATGCCATTTCTTATGCTTTTTCAAAAAGTTAAGTTTTTAAGTTTATTTAAATCCTATTTATTGTTAAGCTCAATGTTTCATCCTTTGTTGTTACTGAATTCTTTTTCTTGTGAAGTATTATTCTTTTACTCAGTAATTTGAACATTCTGGACTTTCCAAACAGTTGCTTTCCACATGTCTGTGGCCGCTTATGTAGAGTTTAGTTTGAATGTCCCACCACCATTAATGTATATACCGGTAGTTCTAATAAAAGTAACTGCCCATAACTTTGCTCAGAAATGAGCAATTTTTCTAAAAATGATCAAAACTGCTGCCTAAATTATGTATATACCAGGGATCGTGAACTTTTTTATTGAATGGCACACATATTGAATATTTATAATGAAAAAGAAGATTGTGGGTCTTAGATTTAATCAATGTCAGTATCAATTAGAAACTTGCTGTTGCTTGTTTCCCACAAATATTATTATCCTTGGTTGTGTAGTTTGAGCTTTACATATGCAGCGCTTATTGTTCAATTTAACGGCCAGTCTTATATTAAATAATGTTAGTAAGTTGTCTTAAAAGTCTTAGTAAGTTGTTCTGTAAAAAGTCATAAAAGTCTTGAATTCACAGGGCACTATAAAAAAGATGTTGCGTCACATTTTAAACTGTGATTCAGCGGTTTGCCATCTCAGATATGTACATTTTCTCATTTATTGTTAAATACTTTTCATTTCAGTTCCAAACTATCAACATACAAAGAAATTTGTTCTCTTGCATCTGATCTTAACCAGCCTGATCTTGTTTATAAATTTCTGCATCTGGCAAAACATCATGCTTTATGGAATTCGAAGAAGGTATCCTATGTTTATTTTGTTAGTATGTGGTGGGAATTATTGATCTTCATACCAAGTCTAAGAATGATCAAAACCATCCACCATTGTGTTTCTTATTATCTTTGCGGATACGTGTGCCTTTGTGTAATTATATCATATTGGACGGGATCCCCTATGTTCATAAAACAGTATTATGATTGGCTGGACGAGGTGGTTCACATCAGTAATTTACAGTATCCGATGCATATTGCTGAAATTAAACCGAGAAAGAATCTTATCACTGCATGAATCCAGAGTGCCAATGGTCTGTGTACGTTCACTCAAGGACAATGGTAGCATAAGGCTCTGTTCCAAATCACATCAAATCACATCAAATTTCAGTAGTCTTGGGGTCTAAAAAGTATTTCAAGCTACGGAAAATTGCTATCTATGATACAGAAAAATGATTTTATTTTTTTTTACATTTCAAAAGGGGGGATTTCGACCCACAAAACCACCACCCGGGCTTCGCCACTGGTCCAGGACCTTGTTCATGCAGAAAGACGGTTATAAGCATTGTTTTAAAAAAGCACAAAATTTGACTATGTTGAAACTGGAGGCTACTCATCTTTGGTCCCTATCCTATGCTTGCCACCTCACTCACATTGTTATAAATTATGTAGATAATATCGGGCCAGAAAAATTCTGGTTCTTTCAAAAATCTTAAGTAGGTATCAGTGCTTGTTCAAGGCTTGGTTCGGAGCAGCATACCTGAATAAATGTTGTATAATAAAGTATATCATGGTTCCAATCCTATGCCCGCCACCTCATTCACAGAGTAATAAATTGGGGAGGCAATGTTGGTCCATTGAGATACTGGATCTTCTCAAAAATAGTAGCTTCTAACATATAGATAGATATTACCGGTAGTAACTGCTTTTTCGTGGCCTTGTTTGTACCGTGAATAAGATTTGTATAAGAAAGCACTCTCTGTCAATAATAGCTCTAATGATTATATACTTTTTTTACCAGGGTGCAGCATTTGGTTTCAGCAATATTGCAAGTCTGGCAAGTGAACAGTTAGCTCCACATCTTCCTCGTATTGTACCGAGGTTATACAGATATACGTTCGATCCTCAACCCGGGGTAAGATCAGCAATGACAAGTATTTGGAATGCTTTGGCGCCTGATCCGAAGAAACTGGTGAGTGAAGGTTTTTTTTTAATTTCTTTCAAAATTATGACATTTTTATTTTAGTTATTTATTTATCTCGGTAGCAGGGAAGTCGATAAGATGGATTAATCATATAACGTACAGAGACATCTCATCCCTTCTGCCTATCAGCCCATATAGTGTAAATATCCACTAATTCGCTTCAGATGCATGAACTTCATGCTGAAGTAAACCATAACTCAAGTAAAGTAAAAACCATAAGACAGCTGAATCCTTTTATTAGTGCTGTCATAGGAATATTTAACCAGTTATTAAGTTATTCATTTCTGCATTCGACTCCGACATTTTGGTAAATGGACGAGGGGAAGGGGGTTATGATTCGTCATACGATCAAGCTGTTGTGTCAATGTGTTGGAATAGGGTGAACAGCTATTTTATCCCATACTCGAATTGGATGGACGACCAGGCGAGAGAACATTTGCCATATACTGCATGAATTTGAAATTCTGCTTCACCCTAGTCTTTCCAGATTCATATATATTCGGAGATACTTTTGAAACTAAATGAATCCTATACCCGAAACGGACAAGTCTTCTTAGTTTTTTCTCTCTCCCATAAATTTGAACAGTTATCGCCTATTTGGGATTTAGACCACAGGCGTGTAACATACTACCCACGGGCGACATTACGGACTGTGGAATCTGAGTTGTATCTGAAATACTTCATTGTTCAACATAATCAGGATTTGGTTTGTCCGGTTATAAGAGCATTATAGCAATGTGGCACTATTTAGAAAAACTGTGCTGGTTACGATAACTAACAAGTTGTTTGATGGTTTGGCCCTCAGTGTCAACATAATTCTATGTTTCCGCCCATTTTTCAGTACTTCTGTCCCGTAGTATATGTACCAGGTAAGGGTTAGGCCATAATTTTATTTCAATTTTCCTTATTTTGGTTCTATTACAAGTTCAGGGACTGTCTGTGTTAGCCAAGTGAATATACCCTCTGTCCATAGGCTTCAGTCCCTTTACACAACTTTGGTCCCTCTACACAATTAGTTACCTCCATATTGGTACACATACTTCTAGAGCGCCTATTTTTCTGCATCTTATCACAGCTATCTTCCTGCTCAAGCTCTCTTCTTAATATTCAAACAGTAAAAAAGTTTTATACTTTTGTTCTGTTTATTGCAATATTTACAATATATACAAAGATGAAAAGTAGTCTAATATCTAAAGCTCGTAGCACACGAGTAGGAACATATTAAGAGCTTGTATAAGGCAGAGTGGGAATGAAAATGAATTGCCTTACATGGAGAAATCCTTTTGAAAGTTTCAAATTATCTGTTTAGAATCAGTCTATATGTATAGAACTGAGCCAATTTAAATAAGAACGGAGTTCATCTTAAAGATTAATGAGGAATGCAATTCAAGTTTTTTTTTTACCAAATTTGAGAACAGAATAAAAGGATTTCATCTTGTAAGGCATTTATGCTGGAGAATTATGCATAACATTCATCAGATTTTAAATTAACTTGATGATTGTATGCCAAATGAAAAACACAGTTTCGTCAGTCTTCACTACATTATCTAAACTGCTATATCATAAACTAGGATAGAGTGGCAAATGAATTTGAGAGCAAAATATTACTCCTTTAATCAGGGTCGAATTTCTCAGAATTTAGAGCTGCAGTTGGTGTCAAAATTTTTTACCCCGAAGTCCGTACCGAATTTTTTCGAGAGTCCTAATTATCATAAATTTTTTCTCACTCCACATTCTTGCACACAACATTACTATACTTCCTTGACTTGTTACATTGGTAGAATACAATTTACCACTCATGGACTAATGCTACAGCTTAATTTTTTTTAACAAAATCATTCCAAATTAGTGTAGCACTGCTTGGCTCGGAAAATATGAAATTTTTTATTTTAGGGAGTGTTGCTATGGAAAGGCGGTGGGAAACATCTTTAAAATTAAATTCAGATGAATACTGTGCATAATTGTCCAGCATGTTTATAAAAAATGATATATAGCATTAACAATATATACATATAATACCAATGCTTGCCTATGATACACACAAGTCTTAGTTAAAGTACGTTCGACATTAAGTCCGCGGAGTTAAGCCGTAACGTATATTGCACGTTGTCCCGACCGCTGATGCATGACAATGCAAACTCGTTACACATGACTGACCTCTTCAAACTTTGCTGTTGTGTGTACATCCCCAACTTAAAAAATTTTCTGGAATAATTGGGGCGGTCGTCATGGTAACAATATATGTATAGTCAGCATTTTTGGATTTTTAAAAATGATGGGTACAAGATTATGTAGAATATAAACAAGCATGGTAAATTTTGGTTATTTACAAAAAAAAACTAGTGTAATGAGAAAAATAGGAAATTTATATTCGAATAGCTTATGACGCAACCCCAGAAAAAAAAAAGAAAATTGGATAAATAGATTGCTGACTGTGTAACCCGGTCTCAATTACATTGGTTAAAAATTAGCAAATTATAGAATAATTATAGAAATAAAACATTTCGGATTTTTTTTTCAAAGTACTATTATGGAAAAAATGGTATGCAAAATAATAAAAAATATCTTTCCAAAATGAATTATAATGTAGATGTAACTTTCTGGGTTTTGTCATAAAATACTCAAAGATAGATTTCCAGTTTTCAGAAAAAAAAAAAAATATAGCAGCTTTGCAAAACACAGGAATGGCTATTACGTCTTCTATAACTATAATTGTTGGTTGTTTAGTGCCTTAGTGAGAGATGTTAGTGGTATTTACAATGAAGTATGGTATTATTAACAAAATTAAAATATCAATTTGGTCTTCGGAATCGGGAACATTTTCCTGGGCATATATTAGTATTATGAAAATGGTACGAAGGGGTGTGCAACCTTTTATACAGGAGGGCCAGATATAAATAACTGGGTGAAACTGCGGGCCGCACCTTTATTTAACAAACATTTTATAATAGTTGCAGGCGTAAAAATGTTGGTTATTGATCTTATGATATGCGTTGTTCGCTTCGCACAAGCTTAGGGGATTGTAACACCATAGGCGTAGATAATAAATCGGACTCTGGTATGGGCTTTGCGACGCAAAGGGATTGGATTTAGGTACTCATACGAACCTGCTCAGATTAAATTAAAATTCATTCGAAATTAGCACTTTTTCGAGGGTCCACACAATTTTCCATTGTGGGTCGCATTTGGCCGCGGGCCGCAGGTTGCACACCCCTGATTTACATGGTGCAATAATTTGTTCAGATGTTCAAATGACAGCCAAAATAGTAGTGGGGACTGTAAAATTATTTTCATTTTTAGTACATTGCACTGAGATTTAAAGGTTTTAGCACTTGATCCGGTTATCAACGTACTTCTGAATATACGAAATTTAAACTATATACAATTACAATAATCATGCTACTTTCACTCGCATAAGAATTAAAATCGAATGCATTACTATTTTAAACATATATGGCCCATATGAGCAAATATACACTTATGTGTGGGACATGTGTGATTAAGTATGTAATTTCAATCAATTCTAATTGTATTATGAAATTTGCTACTAACCCACCATTGACATTATAAGGTTCTGAATATACAAGACTACATGTATAGCTATAATTGGCAATTGCATTTGTCTCGACGTATTTTTATGAACAGATTCCGACGAACTAAACATTTTATACAAAAAATAATAATATAATGAAATCATATGGTTTTCATCCAGTATAGTTTTAGGAATATACCAATATAAGCTTATTGAAATACTTAATGGGTGATAGACTTTGCTAAACTTGTGAAGTATCGGATATGATCTCCCAATATAATTACGGGGAAGAGGAAGCCGGTAAGACGGCTTAATGATATGATGAACCACGGCCTCTCGTCCGGTTACCATTCTCGTCCTGTTACCGGTCCATGTCTACATTATTAAAATCAAAAATTTCGGATAAGGGTTGATTCGTTCTCAATATTCCCGGGTTCAGAGTGAAAAAAGTGGAATTTTTGGATGATATTCGTGTTATAAGCTTTGAAAATATATTATGCTCAAATAAATGTGAAGTTAGTAAAAGAATTAAAGAATTCACCGTTTTCACCAAAAATAATGATAATAATATCATAAAAGTAGATAAACAACACATTTTGTAAAGATCTTTGTAATGATGCTTGGTATAAATGAAGTGATTAGTATGATAAATAGTAGGATTATACGAAAATAATCATTAAATATATAAGCCGGTGATTTTGAATCTTGTGTTGATATAATTGTGCTGAATATTTCGTATATTATCGGGGTGTAAACATTTTACCATTCAAACAAATGGAGAAAAAATGAAGTAGATGACATTTGGATGGGTCAAGACATGCCGAAATTGACCCAGAAAACACATTATTTTAATTAGTTCCCTTCAATGTAAATCCGTTTTCTATTCTACCCGAATGCGCTGAAAGACGGTGCCGATTTCATTCTAATTAGTAAGATTAATATTTCCATATACGATTCTCAATATTGTTTAATTACAGTTGCATGGGACTATGGCTATGTCGAGGGCCATGTTTTGGGCTATTGTTATTTATACATGATAATTATCATATACATTGTGAGGGCGTCATAGGCAAAAGTTGACTGGTATAAGATGATAGGCAAGATTTTTCAGGCTTAGAACTTGATAAACAACAAAAGAATACGATAGATTAGTAATGATATATAATTAGAATGGCGAATGCAATTATAGAAATGATTTTATGGGTTCGATTTCTAAAACAGTATTTCAAACAGTGTCAGAACTATCACCCGCTGAGGCAATGAAATGTCAGCGTTTGGCCAACTGTGATAGCCCCACAGTCTAAGATTACGAGTCCCCATGTACACAACCCCACCTAGGGCCTAATGCCCTAATATATAGATTTACTGGGTTGGAATGATTACGAGCTATCAAAAATAGCAGTTCTTCGCATATTATTGGTCGCCAGACGAGGGGTCGAATTTGGGGAAACCCCACCCTAAAAGGACACGTCGGGTTCATGATGTAAACAAACTTCGAAATGTCTTGGCGCATTAAAAGCTGAGTGGGTGAAACAAGCAAAAATTTACAGAAAAAATGTCACTCAAAATACAAAAATTCCAGTCCGATATTCTACGAAGATTGTTAGTAATTATCAATTTATTTTTGCACTAAGAGCATAAGCATTAGGCCACCTTTGAAGCGTTTAATTGCATTTTACATTTTGCTTGATTGCACGGGATTGATCAGATATGCAGTTTTTTTTTTTCAGGTAAATTTAACTTTTTGTATGCTTGACAAAGCTATTTTATTTTGCCTTTCTACTCGCCAAAAAAATGATTTTCCCTGTATACATACAACACATGAAAATACGTTTCACGGAAATAAGAAAAAAGTTCAAATTACCTTTGCTGTTTGCGGGAAATCCATTCGCGGAAACGACGAAATAAATTCTCGTAAATGGGTTTCTTATATATTTGGAACTATCCAAAGCAAGTCCGAATTTTTCTCGTTCAAAAAGCACTTTGCTTTAAATCCAAAAAGTACGTTACCTAGATATTTCTCATCCTTTGCATTTAACTTGTAATTCCCTTATTAGTCATTGTCGGGATATACCAGATATCCGGAAAATGTGATTTGCATATCCTTGTTTCCGTAAATTGAGAAACGAATTCCTTTCGCTTGTTTCAACCACACGATGTCGCTTTTGCGTAATTTTAACATGATGCTTTGGCTCTGCATTATCCTTCGAGGTACAGCGTTGGCGTACAAGATTACCTGTAAATTTACGTTTTTTTAAGTGAGTAATATATATTCATAAATGGGTCTATGCTGGCACCGTGGGCTATAGATATCAGAATAAAACTTTTTCCTCGTTGAGGATTTATGTAACGAATTGGTTAATTTGAGTAAAATATTTCCAAACATAGTGGTAGCCCGTAAATCTAATTTTGTCGTTTTGTGCTTTGTTCAGAGCGGATAAATATTGTTAATTGTGTACATAAGCAACAAGAGAGCAATGTCACAATGTAAGGATAGATGCGATGGTTAAATGACTAATACGGCCGCGATGTCCACAAGTTTCAGCCAAATGTTAAAAAGTGGTGACGAATGTCATAAAGAATTGTAACGAGTGTCATATGAAGGTTTCCTCGTGAATAGAAAAAAAAACGACCCTACATCAATTTAGCAGCACGGTCCTCCTCGTCTTTACCAAGAATCATTTAAAATCCATTTTATCAAAATTTTCTTACCTGGGGTTCGCTGTTTTTCATAAGTGTAATTCCCAAGTATTTATCAAGGTATGATTGTACGGTGAACGTAAAAAAATAGATCCCAGAATGATGACAAATGAAACGACCTGATTCTTTATCAAAATCGTTGCCCTCGTTCACAAATACCTGTTCAACGAGATAAAGAATAGTTATAAAGAGCATCGTACTGATCGACTATTTCAAAGACTTCCTTTAAGAAATATTGTGTGAAAGTATTGCGGAGTTTACTACCTTCTAGCTCAGGGGAGAGCAATTACTTTTCTGAGTGGGCCAGATACACATAATAGACTTGGTTTCTCCGGCCCAAAACTCAATGTGAATAACTATGAATAAAAAAACAGTTTATTTACAAAAAATTACAACAGCTAGTCCTAGATAATCTAACGTTTAATCGGGGTCGTTATGACGTTATTTTCATCGATATTTTCCACGGAAATTTATATCCTTAAAACTATATTCGTAATTCCAGCAGACACGAGTGGGCCGGATCCGGCCTGCGGGCCGTAATCCCCCCCCCCCCCCCCCCTGTTCTAGTTGTTTCACTTCAAGCCTATTTTGCTGATATGTGATGCACCGTCATAAAATTATATTGTTTCACCAGCTCTTTGGAACTATGGTGGCCGATTCTAACTTCGCGCAGAAACGAGTTCTTTTAACTTTTGAGTGAGTGCCACGGGGATGAATATTGCCATCATAATGGCAGAAAATTTCAGTTGGATTTCAATTGTTTCGAATGTCATATTATATTATGTCAATGGGTTACAACGTACAACAATTAAGCTAAAATGATTTTAATTTATAAAATCTTCAAGAAATTCGTTTTCGACCAAATCAATGTTTAGATACGTTTTAGTCAAATTAACAGGGATAATTTATACACTGAATGCATGAATTGAGTGAGTCTCGAACTTAAGACCACCAACTTACAGGCGTGAATCTTTAGGACGTCAAACACATTCCCGGCTATTCCATTTGAAGTAAGCGGGCGCGTGATTATCATGCGATTCAATTTGCGGTCAAGACTAAATAGACGTTTCCCAAATTTAAAAAGAATATAGTCGCGAAATATCGCCTGAAGTGTTTATCTCGTAGATGTAAAATATTTTTCATTGCACACGATTATACTGTTTATAGACGTTTTCCAAGACTCTTGTACGGAAACGTAACGTGTCATAGCTTTTGTGTTGTCGAGCGGTGCGTGATTGGCGTTTATTTTACGGCTGCCCACGCGCTAAAAGTGGCGAATGTTTATTTATGTTAAGTTGACCGCCACGTGCTCGTCCTTTTTTATAGAAGTGACAAAATTACAGATATAAAAAGTGCTACCGCGATATTTCAAAGGGCTGTTTATTGAATAGACCGATTTTTAATAAATCAGACCCAATTTTTTGACCACATTATTTTAATCAGTTTTTGCCAAGACGGGAAATAATGGTTTCTATCATGTTACCCACCACAATTTTCCTGATCTTTTTCCTTGTTTAATAATGAAAGTATAAACTTTTGACACAGCATGACATGGCTTAAGATGGCCCAGAAATTCAAAGTAATGTCACTATCACTGTGAACGTCTCGTTTGGTATTGGGGATGAACTCTGACCGGGAAAAATACAAATTCAAATTCATGGAAGCGACTGGGAGTGTCGCACATTAATTCAGGCAGACAACTCTTGCAGTTGCGTCCGTTATCTGATTAAAATGCAAGTAGTTCAACTTGACGAACTAGTTTCCACGGTGTTCGTAAGTTGTTAGTTTAATCACAATATTTTTTTTCTGGTCTCGCCATTTTTCTCTCATTTTTCAAACACTTAAAGTGGGAACGAATAAATTTTCACTCATTTTGACTACTTGAGGTAAATATAACCACATTTGTGAGGTTGAGATCATTAGAGCACGATGAAAATTAAATTATGGTAGTTGGAGAACAGTTACAGACAAAGTTCAATTAATTTAGCTCATCTAGTGGGGTTTCAACGACAAGCATCATTATTATGAATGGGGCTTTTTACGCACCCAACCACTATTTTTTACGCACTTGTAGACAACCATCCATACCTATAAATAGTTGGTGTTTCATATAAGATGTTCATGGACTCTTAATTTATTTTTAATTGCAAATGAAATTCATCGATATCATATATTGTTTTGTTCCTCACTTGTATTAAATGAAGTGAAAATACGTAAACAAACCTCAACAGGGTACAAGTTTCGACATCATTTGGAACTTGTAATAAAGCTGATTTGCTGAATGGTTAAATATGTAAACACGTTTCTTTTATATGTTAGAATCATTCCGGCGTGAAAGTGGCGAATGCCTTTTCATGTTACACAAAACTTGTTTCTAAGAAATATTTACAACGGTCCGTTAATATGTAAATAAGGTTTTAAGAATAATGCCAAAGGGTATATTAAACGTAAAAACCCGATTTTATACCTGCCTGTGGTTCGTGTTCGTGAATGAACTTTTTTGCCCTTTGTCACTCGGCGCGGTATCGTTGCAAAATGGACGACGCGTCGTTCGAGTTACGGTATATGTGATTAATTATTATGGCGCATGTATATTAATTGTTGCATTTTATATGAAATTTTTTATGAAAAATTTGGGGGATAACAAAAATGTTAATTATTTTTTTTTCACAAAAAAGAAATATCAACTTTTTTTATACGTGCTTTTGGAAAACGTTCTTTGTATTTTCAAATAAAGACAATTCGTTTCATGTGTTGGTAAATTGAATTGATAGACCATGAATGATAAACGAAATAGACGTTAATTATATGATTTGTGTCTTAAGCCCTCTTTTATTTGAATATCCTGTTTTGAATTTTCAAATTTTTGAATTTCATTAACCGAACCACAATTTTTAATTGTGCGTTTGAAAAACAATCTTTTTATTTTTGACGGAAAAATGTACTATGTGTTAGAATTAATAAATGAAATCGCCTTTGAATATATAATTAGTACCCTTGAAGCCATTTTTAAAAAAAAATACCTTCGCTCAATTTTTTTTCTGTTTTCTCGTTAAGTTTACGTCTCTTAAGTTAGCGTTAATTAACCGAGTTATGAGATAGCTTATTTTTTCTACGTGCAGTTGTTTAAAAGGAATATAACTCTCTCATTGCGAATAATTCGAGTTTTGTTTAACTGAAACTGAAATTAGATTCATTGATTTCGATTATAAACAAACACTCTTGCAGCGATCACATCTGATGGGAAGGTTTTATAGAATTGATTATATTTAAAAGCGAAAGTTTGACATACTTTGCGACTGAAACATGAGTTATAATTAGATTTTATTTGGGAAACTGTTTCGACTATTATTGTCGATTTGGACGCCGAACTTTTGCCAGGCTTTTTGTTTTGTTTGATATTGGATATACTTCAAGAATAGAAAACAAAAAACTATTTTTTGAAGCAACAGCCAATTTGCGCATATATGACAAGTAATACTCGATTTTGCAAAACAACCTGGTATGCTTTGGAGTTAGTATAAGGGTATTATTATTATGGTGCGTTGTGAATTCAGCATAGCTTGTCTTGAGATATCTGTACGTCGAATAATAGAATTAGTTGATCAGCAGACATTTAGTACAAATTTTGCCAAAAACTTACAATTTTTTGCTGTTTTTGATATTGCACACGCTTGAAAACAGATATTAAAAATGGTATTTTTTAATCAAATTGACAAAAATGCATGATACATCATAAATTTTACTGTTTTTTGCAACGAGAATTGCGTGAGTTTACATTATTATACTGTTTTTATGGTGTCGTTGAGAATAGGAACAACTCTTATGAAATTCACTTCAAATATGTACTTCGGGTGAGCTAAGTAATTAACTTGAATATTTCCCTTTTATTACAATTTTTCGCATAATGTGAAAGTTATTATAAAAAACAAGTTCTTAGATTTTTGACAACTTCTGCAAGAATGAAAAAACGAGTTGTATTTTCAAATTCTCAAATAATATCGTTCTTTCAATTTTAAACTTTTATTTACATAAAATTTTGACTGTAAAATTTCGATCATCGTTTAAAAATAGTTCAGGCCGTTTCATGATTTTACAATCAAACCATCTTACCTTGTCGAAGGTCAATGGCAGCGGCATTGTATCATTACCAAGCAGTTCTGTACTTCGTCCAACCGAGAACGCGGATCTTGGGGGCAATGGGGCGGGGTCACCTGTATCCCCCTTTTCGCCTTTCTGACCCCGGAGGCCTTGTATTCCCGGAGGTCCGACTTCGCCCATTTCGCCCTTCTCGCCTTGAATGCCCTGTTTTCCTTCATTGCCTTGATCACCTGAGATAAAACATTTTTTATGAAATTTCTCGAAATTTATTTATTCCAGATTTATTATTACCAACGTTTATTTTATAGGTAAAATCCCCAAGAATAAACTTTTTTTTAAAAAATCGTAATTTATTTATTTTGGAATATTTTATTGTCCACGTTTATTTTATAGATAAAAAATGTCAATTTTATGAAGACATTTCAATTTCAATACATTGGTTTTGGCTCACACTACACACCCAGTTATATTGGACTTGATTCTAAAAGACACTTTTTGTGTGAAAGCCATTTAGAACGTTTTTGTCGTTTTGGCGAGATTTTCTAATGAAGATGTATGTATACCAAAATACATCGGAAATGAGTTAATAGCCATTTTATTAAATACTTGGAAAAACGATCGTGGTTATCAGCAGTTTGGCCAGATTTAAAAGCCTGCAACTGTCAATTTCAATTTTTGGCCAAAATGTGGCCATAGCGTGAAATGTAATTATCGCATTCGGTCGCAGCGAAAGATCTTTAAATGCTCATTGCGTTGTATATTTGCTCTTTATCAGTAATTTTTGGTGAGCCGTGGTCGCATGCGTGGTCTCGCGTTAGATAAACTCAGGGACGTAGCCAGAATTTTTTCGACCCACAAGACCACCCTCTTGCTACGCAACTGTATAAACTTAATAAAATTACTTGTTCTTTACCTTTTGGCCCTTGTGTCATGTAATAGACTGGAGTCCCTTCACCGGGGTAGACTTCGTCACAGCAGTGCGTACATATCCTTGTATTGCATTCCACTTTCAATCCTAACGTTAGTATCAGTATCCACACGGTAACCTTCATCATTATATTTCCCATACTGTACCCTCCACCCTCCAACACCGCTCAGATGACTACCCCAAATTCAGTCTCCCGTTTTATGATCTAAATTAAATTTAAATACATGATTTGAAACAGGATGTAAGACTGATGTATTGATATAATGGTATATTCAACTAAATGAGCCGTTTTAGAATTATATCCCGGAAGTGATAATATACTAAAGTCCAAGTGTCACGCTTTGTATAGTTACTATAATAATTTTTTTAAAATTTGCTTGAGTTTTGTTATCGCCTTTCCCGGTATAATTGTAAAATACCTATGAAGGCTCACTTTTTAGACAAGAGTCCTGTCTGAATCTCACAAAATAACCACGTTTTTATTAAACTCTAAAATATTTATAAAGTTGAAATCACCTAATCAAAATGGCTATAATCAGTTTATTAGGCATTGTCAATATCTGCCAAACAAATAATAACTTTCTACAATTTATAAAATATAGTTCGTTCGAACATTCAAAATAACTCTTTCAAGAAAATAAAACGTATATGCGTGCTACTTGCTAAATTACAAAACTATAAAAAGAGTAAATTCACACACTTTAACATCCTTATGCATTATATGTGCATCTGTTGCTAGAGTCAGTTACAACAAGAAACTTGAATAGATTGAATTAAAAAAAAGAATTAAAATAAAAATGAAAGTGCTGGAATTTTTAATTGAAAATTTCTTACAATTAAATTGAATGCTCAGCTTTTACAGTTCACTCTTAATTTTTTTTTAAATACATTAATGATAAAGTCACTGAAATAACTTGATCAAATTTCTCGCAATCCTAATTTCCGAGCACAACAATTTTTTACACGAGTTTTATTATGCGCACAAAATTTCGTTGTATAAATTAATCCTGAGCATTAGATGTCAGTTAAATGTTATTTGGGATAATATATTTCCGTGAATTCAAATAATATTTACCTATAAATAAAGATATTAATAATATAAAGTTGCTTTTTTTTCGAATCAGACTGTTTATGCTTGGAATTTTCGCCGATAATTTCAAAATTTCACAAATTACATTTAGGCAATTATCCTTCTGTTATTGCAATATAAATCGATACTAAATTCTCGGAATCGAAATTCAATTCGAAGCAACAAAAGTCTAGAATGCCGAATACGGCCTTCCCGACATGCATACATATCGTCGCAGACGGGCGAATGCAAAATGGCGACGAGTCGCTTGACTGCTTTATGATACTGCGTTGCACATAGAAGCTTAAAATCGTGCAAGGACTCTTCATACAGCCTAATATACCTCCTACTCATCACTCAGACTAAGTAACAGTGCCATATCTATAATCCACGTTGCAAATTTATAGGATTTCAACCAAATATTTCGACAACGCAATACTGGCGTTTTTGTCGTATTGCATCCCAGATGATGACGCATCGTATCGATGTGTGACGTAGGCCACGAATTGGCTGCGCAAAGCGACACGCCGCGCCTTCACTTTGGTCATGTGCGCTTCGTCGTTATAGCCGGTCAGTAAAATAGGGTCATAGGACTTCCTGCGTCAGGTGTAAGTTACTTTATTCTATATTTTAGTCTAAATTGACACCCTAATTTTGATGTTGCTAATATAAGAATTACGTTAAAGCCAATTTCGAATTCGTCTGTCTTTGTTCTCTTACATCAGTCTATTGTGTAAAGTCGTTAATGAGTTTAGCGCTGACGATCTTATATATAAATTAGTTGGAAATGTTTTTCAAAGTCCAAATATCAAAAGACGTTTTGATAAAGGTATCCACGTATGCTCAACATCCTATCAAAGCAGTTTTAAATGTCACAACACGGAGTCAAATTCGAGTGCTGATTTGCATATTATTTATAATCTCACTTAGACTTCAATATTTTAAATTCGCGACCTTTACTTTGTTTCAAAATAGAAATTAGCTGTCTTAGATAACAGCGGGGATCTGTGTACCTAAAGGTCGTGTCGGATCGGATTACTTACTGGTAATTATTTCAGAAGAGACATCGAGTGCATTCAGTTTTGAGTTTATAGTATGATTGAGTTAAGACTGTATAGTTTAAACTAAGATTAGACGATAAAGTGCGTTTTGCTTAGGAATCGGTTGTTTTCCTATAATATTTGCACTTGCCTCAACATTCCATGTTTTGTTGAAAGCGAAATTTCGCATACATTGTTGTCTATAGCAGTGCTATAGCGTACTATTACTGAAGATTATTTGAATAAATAAGAGAAATATATGAATTCCAAGGTTCCCTACATAACTAATACAACTTAGGCAAAAAAATTTCATCGTCTCTATTGCACAGATGCCATACGCTGTTGAAGATAATGACTGTTAAAGATAATAAGCGGTATTCGATTCATCATGTTATTTTGGTTTCTGAGCCAAATTTTTGTAGTTTTAAATGTTCTTTTGTACGTGGACGTCAACCAACTAGAATTGCGTAGCATAGACATTGGCTTTTATTTCTGAAAAAATTATTTTTGTCAAGTTTTCATGATATCTATAGCTGTTTGTTTTAGTCATGCCCTCACGTTCAACAAATTATTTCGCCGCCAAGCGTATGCTTTGCTATACCGACAGCAGGTCGCATACAATACGGCTTAATCGTATCGAACACCTGGGCCTTTACCACGTGTTGCTTTGTTCGGTTGCATTTTTTTGTGAAAAAATACCAAATTAGAGTGTAATCTTATCAAAGCCAAACTTAATTCTAAAAGATGTTGTTCCTTTCCCACATATCAGTCCGTGATTGGACGGCGAGATAAGATCAGTCAGGTGACCGTACATTTGAACCCATGTACATTTGAACCCATGCGTATATCCACGGGTTCAATCTATATGCGGGTGCTAAAACCCATGGGTTAGGGTTAGTATGGGTTTAACTATCCGTGAAACAAAAAAAATTCCATAGGTGCAATAGCATACAGGTGCAATTGTCATGGGTTCAAATGTACGTGGGTTCAAATGTAATGGAACCGATCAGTCATTATTCTTCAATTTCACGGCCTTTGTATTTCAATATAAATCGGCGCTTATTTAAACCTGTTACGGGTTTGGGTTTGATTGCGGTGCTCAATATTCTCATTTGACTGTGCGAAGGGTATATGTTTGTTTTATCTTCTATAGTAATTTTAACATTAATGTCGAGTGGTATTACGTACTTATAAGCTGAATACGTCTGCCAAAATATTCACATTAAGGCGAAATTTCGGTTTCTGCAGTCTTATTATATTATGTAGGTTTGTTCAAAGCAAGGTTACATGTCCTCAGCCGAAAAAAGATTGGATTGCCGGTAGAAGAGGTGCGAACGACGTTTGTTAGGTTTTTACTTGCAACTTGCCTTGAGTTGCCTTGCCTGTCCCTAGGAAACCATCAAGTTGTAACTTGTAATAGCACACTAGTAGCTGTTTAATTTACGATATAAACTCCGCAAATCTTATGTGACAAACATCGACTACTATATGGTATAATCTTGCTCTAAGACTTCGTTTAAAACGCTTGCATTGACCAATTGTCGGTTTTGGTCTATGACCTAGTTATATTCACTGTAAAACTTTATTATTCGTTATTCGCGGAGTGGCGATGATGACCTTGCTGTTTTAGTTTTGACTGTGTTTGCATGATCATAACACTTTTCGTATTATTGCTTGGTAATGCCCCAATTACCATAGCATTATATTCACGAAGGTGCGAAGTTATAAAGAGTAGGCAAATTCATTAATATATTTTTCAAATCACAGTAATGTTGGTAATCGAGTATGTCTTGCAAGTTTAATGGAATGAATTTTAAATGATTACTATTTAAAATAAATTATAATAATTAATAATCAATAAAATGGAAACTGCTTATGCTTTGGCATTTTCCATTTTTGCCAGATATGTTATGTCAGTAATTACAGCATGAAATTTGTCGTATCTCATGATTTTGATGTTGAAAATTAAAACCATTAAAAATATTCGGAATACATATTAACTAGAATATCCCGAAATTAATTAAAAGTCTACAGCCAGCATTGGCACTAGTTTCTCTTGTACATTCATATTGATTGCCTTTTCCATTTCTAAACTATTATACATAATATAGGCTTACTAGCTGTACTTCTCAAATTTCAAAGCCAACTACTTATATTCTTTTTATGCCTCAAATGAAAACTTGCATCTTAATTTCGACTGGGTCTTCTACAGCAATAGGGTGAGCAGTTGAGGCTTTGGTTTGAGAAATCTCTGATACTAAGATGTTTATAAATTAGGTTAAAGCTCATGCTACGTCTCTTGGTATTGGTGAGATGATTGTACTTTAAGATCCTCCGCGTTACAGTGATATAGCCATAACGGAAATACAGTTTTCGTGGTAAAATATATTTACTATTCTGCATGACTCGGTAACTTGCGCCCACGCTGCGTTTACTTGTAACAAAAATCTACAAGTTAATGGTATTTATCAGTATTTCGAATTAAAATTACATTAAGTTTGTTTTTGCCTCTAATCTTAGGTTATATGTAATCAATATTCTAACATGCTTGCAAATACAAAATTTACTTTTATATGCCAGTTAATATCACGAAATTTTTTACTGGCTATTCATAAATCATCTTGGAAGGAAACACTTTGTTTTCTTTTCTTTTAGTTCTCCGAATTTTAATCATTCCTTTGAAGACGCTCTATGAAAAAAATACTTAAAGCTAAAGCATATTTATCCAAGCATTATTGTTCCAATTTGACAAATTACCAAATGAAATCCGTTGCCTATATAGCCTTTATTGGGAGGATGTTCAAATGACGATGGGGACATATATCCGTCTCTGATACTAATGGAAGGATGCCTTTATTTTTAAACTCACTAAAAAGAACAAAGTATTTTCTTTTTCGATTCGGAAAGTGGAATCTCATAAAAAAAATATTAATTTTCCGAGCCCTGGTTTATTAAATACCAAGTCCTATTGAGGGATCTGCAATGAACCCTCCACACGCCAACATTCACAAACCGTACGGCGTACGTGATGCTAGGACCCAACAGTTAGGAGATAGCAAAAATTGAAAAAAAAATTGCATAAAAATCATTTCTCTA